TAAAATAATAACAATAATAATTATACAATATCGGAATATTAATCTAATAAAATAATAAACGGTTCTATAACAATATTCCTGAAAGTTTACTGTAATTTCTTTAAACTGTTATTAATCGTTACTAATTAGTTTTATCGAAATAAAAATTTGGGGCTTTTTAAAATTATTGTATATTATCTAGTTTCGAATATATACTGTAATCTATTATAAATAAAGTTTTTTTTACAACTATTGGTAATTAAAATTCATTTTCTAAATTGCATACTGAATTATTATGTTTAAAAATAAAAGTGTTTTAATATCAACTCAAATTAAAGAACATCCCGATACTTTTCGTGCTGATAATAATATTTTAATATGTGAATACTGTAATGAACCTATTGAATAGAAATATAAATTAATAGTTGATGGTCACTGTAATAGCAAAAAGCATAAATTAAATAAAGTAATTTTGAAAGTCAAGAAAATACACAAAAACAAATGTCAATTCAAGCTAGTTTAAGTGCAATAGAGATAAAAAATGAACTTATAGAAGAATTAGTTGAAAGTTTCATTATTGCTGATATTCTACTTGAAAAAGTAGATCGTCTACTTCCTTTTTTTAAAAAACATCTCAAATATGGTGAAACAATTCCTTAGGCTTCAACATTAAGACAAACTTATTTACTACATATCTTTGAAAAATATCCAACTGCACTTACTTTATTTTTTAATAACAAACCCATCGCTATTATTATAGATGAGACAACTGATAGTTGTGCTCGAAGTGTTGTTAATACACTTTTTGTATTTCATAATTCTACTAAATTAGTTTCTGTTAATTTTCTTGAATTATGTGAATAATACAACTATAGATTAAACTTTAATTTTTATTCTTTCAAATTATAATATTTTATTTAATATTTCATATTTTTTTTTATCTGATTTGGCGGCATATATAAAAAAATATTATAAAGATGTATTAAAACCATTAATGCCACAACTTATTCATGCATCTTGTTGCGCTTATATTCTTAATTTGGTCAGATAACTATTATATATTAATAATTATTATATATATATTATATGTATTTTAATTTTTTTACTAATTTTTATATTATTTGTAGTGATATATAGTGAACTTTCAAGGATTTTTCTGTTTTAATGATTTTTTGACAAAATTAAAAGAAGTATTTATTAAATCACCAGCATAAAGAGGTCGATATATAACTTATTTAAAGATGCATAGTATTATTAATCTATGCAAAATTCCACTTCCAAATGCAACGCATTGGAATTCATAGTTTTGAATGATCTTTTATTCTAAATTATACATTGAATATTGGCCTGGATTTTTTTCTTGTGAACTAGCAATAGATCAAAAACATGAAACATTGCTTGAAATTAATTCATATCTGCAAAATCAAGTTAATTTTGGGTTAATTAAAATTTATATTAATTTTATTTCTACCTTTGCTAAAGAATTTGTTCAGGACTTAGATTTTTTTCAACAACAAAATCGCTCTATATTCCTTTTTGTAGAAGGCCAATTAGAACAACTTACTGCATACTTCAAAACAAATTAGCATGCACAACATTTTGGGCAAGAATTAGAAAACCTTATTACCAAATGTCAATTTAATTTGAACTTTTATTCTATTTTTCAAAATGTATTTCAAGTTGCATATGAAAAATTCTTAGCACATATACCAAACCATCCAGCTCGCAAGTTATTTAAAGCCTGTCATGTATTTGATCTTGGTTTTCTTTATACCAATGATATTTTAAAAAAAGATTTTTGTTGTTATGATGCTATTAAAGAATCTGATAATCTATCAGATGCTTTAATCTATAAATAGTCTATTTATTGTAATTTATATATCAATATAAGTCAAAAAATGGAGTTAGATAAAATTTGGTTAGATTTACGTTTGCAGCTTTCAATTTTGTTAAATATTGCGCTGAATTATATTTGGTTAACTGTTTCAAGCTGCAGTGTTGAACATAGCTTTTCATTATACAACACAATTTTAGATGATAATAGGCAAAATTTATCTAAAAAGTCATTAAAAAATTTGACAATGATATATTTTAATGGAATTTAAATCTATTTAATTTTTTTATTAATAAAAATTTATTGCAAATTAGAGCACATGTTATTATATAATTGGTTGTTTAGTATTACATTATGGCACAGAATTTTCTGAAAATTGTTCACATCGCAACACATAATTTAATTTTTTGCACAACAGAATTTGATTTTTATTACTACAGAAAATTACTGTCCCTGCTCTGCATGATTTATGATTATAAAACTATTTTAAAAACAACAATTGATTACTGATACAGTCAGAAATATTATCAAATATAGGTATGTCTAAAGCTATGTGCAGTCATATGTTTTTAACTTTTTAATTAAAGTTATATTAGAGTAGAGTTAAGGTAAGAATTGGTATTTAGTAAAATTGTCTTTCTAATATTTGTTATTAATACCTCAAGGTAGGTTTAAATACTTATTTCTTGTATTTTTGACTTTTTTTACTTTTTTTCTTTATTGAGTAATTAGGGTTTCTTATAATCAAATAAAATCAAATAAAATCAAATATTAGACTTAATTGAATTTGATTTGATTTGAATATCTGAATTTGAATTTGATTTGATTTAAAAAATCTGAATTTGAATTTGATTTGATTATTTGATTTTAAAATTTCAAATCAAATTAAAATTTTAGCTATTTATAAGAATCTTCAATTTTCTTAAAATTTTATTAAGCTAATCGATTTTGTATATTAAATTAAAAATGTTCTTTTAATCAAAATATCTCTAGTTTTATAAAACCAAATTAGCGATTGTTTTAATAAAATTTTGAAAAAATAGCCTTTGGAACTACAACTCTTTAACTTTTGGCCATTTATGAATATCTTCAATTTCTTAAAATTTTATTAAGCTAACCAATTTTGCATATTAAATAAAAAATGTTCTTCTAATCAAAATAACCCTAGTTTCATAAACCAAATTAGTGATTATCTTAATAAAATTTTGAGAAAATAGCCTCTAGAACTATAGCTCTTTAAATTTTAGCTATTTATAAATATCTTCAATTTTTACAAACTTTTATTAAGCTAATCGATTTTATATATTAAATGCAAAATATTCTCCTAATTAAATAGTCCTAGTTTTATAAAACTAAATTAGTAATTGTCTTAATAAAATTTTGAGAAAACAGCCTCTAAAACTATAACTCTTTAAATTTTGACCATTTATAAATATCTTCGATTTTTACAAAATTTTATTAAGCTAATAGATTCTGTATATTTAATAAAAAATGTTCTTCTAATCAAAATAGTCTTAGTTTTATAAACCTAAGTTAGTGTGATTGTCTTAATAAAGTTTTGAAAAAATATCTCTATAACTATAACTCTTTAAATTTTAGCCATTTATAAATATCTTTGATTTTCACAAAATTGTATTAAGCTAATCAATTTTGTATATTATTGCAATTTGAAAATTCTGGAACTTATTGTTAGCTTTAGTGATGATCATCACTCTATGATTGTAATTGCAATTGTGACAAAAATAAGTATTTCTACTGCAACAAAAAGACCTTTGAGGTTGAATTTTGACCAATTATTTTAGAGATTAGTCTGGCTTATTTTCAAAAGATACTTGATGCTTTTAAGAGTAGGGTGGATGTAGATCATTTTTCATATGATCTATATAGTATATTAAAATTTTATATGACAGAAAAAATTTGCCTCTGATAAAACCTTTTAAAAATGTAACTAATCTTCGCCAAATTTTTCAAGTATATAATTTGGGGTCTTTTATTTATAACAGCAAAATTATGAACACTGTATCTTTTAAAAAAATTTTACTTCGTATATTGGTAAAATTCCTTAGGTGGCCTCAAATTTTCTTTGGTCACACAAAAATTACCAATCCTGATTGGCCAAATTTGTTGTTTTTATGATTTTAATTAGTCAATCACATGATTTCATATAAATACTATGTGATGACTATTAAAAATGATCTATATCCACCCTACCCTTAATTGTAATATAAATATTTACTGAGCTATAATCACAATCGACTGAGATGCAGTAAAATAATTATATTATATTTAAAAGCATCAAGCAATCTTTTGAAATTAAGCCTTGACAAATCTTTAAAATAATTAATCAGAACTCAATCTCAAAGATCTTTTTGCTACAGTAGAAATACTTATTTTTGTCACAATTGCAATCACAATCATGGAGTAATGATTATCACTCAAACTAACAATAGGATCCAGAATTTTGCAAATTGCAATAAATAAAAAATGTTCATCCAATCAAAATAGCTCTAGTTTTATAAAACCAAATTAGTGATTAGCTTAATAAAATTTAAGAAAATAGCCTCTAGAACTATAACTCTTTAAATTTTAGCTATTTATAAATATCTTCGATTTTCACAAAATTTTAAGGGGTAGTTCACAGCTAAAGGGTAGAAATTTCATAGTAAAAATCGGCAGAATTACTTATAGAATTTTAATAG